TAAATTTTCTACTACGTTTCTTGACCTTTTGGCTAAGATCATCAAAAAGGTCTAAGGGATCCTAGTGAGACTGTTCCGCAATTAAATGTTTTAGTCTACACAAACATTTTATATATATATATATATACATATATATATATATATACATATATATATATATGTATGTATGTGTATCTATATATATATATATATATATATATATATATATATAATGTTTTTGTTCTTGGGTGATTGATTTGTTTTGTTCAAAGTTTTGCATGGCGGATGTGAGCGATGAAGGTAGTATTGAGAAGCTCGAGCCTAAATATTTGTCTTAGATTGTATTTCAATTGTTTTGAGCTTCAAATTATATCGATCTTTTCAGTTCGGATATCTTTCGGTTATATGTTATTATCGGTTTGGCTCGGATCGGATCGGTTAAATTTCAGTTCGGATTTGATTCGATTCGATACATTTTTTGGTTCGGTTCGGTTTCGAGTCGGTTCAGATTTGGTTCGGTTATAAATCGGTTCGGATAGATTTTGGTTCAGATAGAATTTGAGTCGGATATATTTTGGTTTCGGGTCTAATTCGGTTCGGATATATTTCGGTTTCTCATCAAATATATTTTGGATATATATTATTTTCTAATTAAAATTTAACTATCCATATTTCTTTTTATGTTTTATCACATTTATCAATTTATCATCAATTTAATACCTCATATTTTTTTATATTTTTTCTAATTATATTATCTGTACCCTAAATAATCTTCTCTTTTTGACTTTTTAATCATATCTTACAAATATGGAGTATAAATTGTGAAAACGTATATATTTAAATAATGATAAAAATTTAATATAATTAAATTGATTTTAAAATTTAGTTTTGAAATATCAAACTTTTCTCACATCTGCGAATATACTTATGTTTATAAATGAAGAGATGAGAGATAAATTCAAATAGTGTTATGTTCCATTAGAATATAATTTGGTAAAAAATTGAGTAAAATTGGGTGAAATTAGGCGAATTTTATTCAATTGAGTGCAAATTTTATAAAGTATTGAGTGAATTTTTTGGAAAATAGATTAAATTAATTTAATAGAGTCAAATATAATTAATTTTACACTTAAATGTAATGGTGCAAATCAAATTTGAAAATGATAACATTAAATGCTGTCGCTAGAAAGTCTTTTCAAAATGCTAACACTAGCATCTAATTTTATTGACTAATATTGAGTAAATTGGTTTGAAACTAATCAAACTAACTCTCAAATCAATAAAATTTATTGTAATGGGTTGAAATCAGGATAAAATCTTGTTATTCCATACAATTCATCATATAATCCTTTCGTCTCAAAAAGAATATCACACTTCACTTTTTAAAAATTACGGAAATTTTATTTGTTTGTACGTTATCATTTATATGTATAACTTATCTTTAATTTCTACATATAATAAATTTAAGGCATGAAATTTTGTACTTTTTCAAGAAGACAATCTATTTATGAGGGAATGAGCAAGTAATGTAATTAGTTCAAATGGTAAAATAAAACTAAAAATCTAAAAATATAATATGCTTATTGAAAGGAAAACATAGTTCCAAATAAATCGATGTAGGTTCTAATCAGTTTCAAATATAATCAGTTTCGGGTTTTATCGATTTCGGGTATTATCGGTTTCGGATCTAATCAGTTTCGGGTTTAATCAGTTCGGATATTATCAGTTTCGGATCTAATCGGTTTCAAATTTAAATCGGAAATGAATTATTTATTTCGTTTTCAGTTCGATTCGGATCATTTTGGGTTTTCGGCTATAGATCGGATCTTCATTTTTCGGGTCATTTCAGTTTCGGTTTCGGATATTTCGGTTCGGGTAATCGATTCCGGTTCTGTTTTGCCAGGTCTAATCATTCCTTTGAACCAGCACCAAGCTACTCCTCTGCCTGGTGGGGGTGCTGCAACGTCCACTGCAGCCATTGCCCAGTCGCATGTGCCTTCAAGTGCGACTAATTCTGCTGTGGGTGGTAATGGATCTGCCACGGCAGCGGGTGGGAATCATATACACCAAAAGAAATAAAAATTGATTTTGGGGAGTGGGTTTTGGGTTTAGATCTTCATTTTAGGCTTTGGTACATCAGAGCTGGGTTTGGATCATGATTTTACTTTCTCGATTTCTCCATTAGTTAAAGTAGGTTGCTGGCTAGGAGGATATTGAGTGACAGTGAAACACGTGGATTGGAACAATTTACCTTTCTGTTTTGGCTTTGGCTTTTGCATTTAGGACTGGTTTTTGATTTTGTAACCGATAAATGGAGTTCAAACACTGTCTATTTGTAATGGAACAAACACACCATTATGGGTCTGGTTATTTAATCTTAAGTTCTAGGTTTGGGTTAAAGTTTTGGTTTCTGCGTTAGGGTTTGGGTTGCGATTTTGTTTCTTGGTTTGGATTTCGGGTCTTATTTTGGGCAGTTTAAGGTTGAACTTTACACCAACTAGAGGGACTGAGCAAACCTTTATGGATGTTTGTGCAAAGTTTTTGTAGCCCAGGGAAGAATTCTGGCCAGATTTTGAGTCCAAAAATCTGT